GGGGGGGATAGGTCGGGATTAATTTAGGAAAGGTTAAATGGTGGCCGTTGATCATTTTCATCAACGGCCTGGATTAAATAGGAATCCGGGCGGGTTATTCAAACGGGTTGTGGGTCGGGTAGATTTAGGATTTGGGCTGGGTAATTGGATTTGATATTGGGTTTAATTAGGGGTTCAAATCTGGCCAAAATTGAAATACAAATGGGCTATCATTTAAATAGCCATTTTTTCCTTTTTTATTTTATAAAAAATAGTAAAATAATTTCCAAAAATAAATTAAAAGCACTACATAATTATCCAATTAAAAATACTGAAATTAATTTTATAAATATAAATACAATTAAATCTTAAAAGAGGCAAATATTGCAATTATATGCAATTTAGCTTTAAAAATGCCACATAAATTTGTAAAAATATGAAAACATTATGTTAGCTATATTTTAGTATAAATATGAGAATACAATAAATGAATTACCAAAATGATAATTTTGGAAATAATTATTGGGTTTTTCTTGCTAAAGTAGGGCAATAAATTGATTTAAAAATCCTTAAAAAATTAAGAGAAACATATTAAAACCTTGGGACATACTTACATATCCATATACATGATATTTTGAATGTATTTTGCATATAAAAAATATACAGGAAAAAATTGGGTATCAACAATGGATTTCACGGTATATTCGTAATACTGTAGATGTTGGATTATTTTTTGAGCAGGAAGATAGTCAGCATCTGGTTGGATATTGTGATTCAGATTATGCGGGTGATTTGGATAAGTGTAAATCAACTACTGATTATGTTTTTATTTTTGCAAATGCACCAGTTAGTTGGAAGTTTACTTTGCAGTTAACAGTTGCTTTGTCTACTACGGAGGCAGAGTACATGACAATTACAGAGGCTGTAAAGGAGGCAATTTGGAGGTTTATTAGAGAGAGCTTGGTATTGGTCAAGAAAGCATCACACTATTTTGTGATAGTCAGAGTGCTATCCAATTAGCAAAGAACCAAAGGTGGAATCATGGTGCAGAAAATTCGGACTACAGACAAACCCTGCTGATATGCTAACAAAAGTAGTGACTGCGATCAAGTTTCAACATTTTTTGAACTTGATCAACATTGTTGAACTTTGAAAATTGAAGTTGAAGACACAATCAAAATTTATCACTAAGAGAAAATTGAAAAAGTGAAATCTTGCCAAGGTGAAGATTTGTAGAATTTGACAAGATTAATGTGAACTAGTGTGAACATTTGAAGCCTCCTTTTTTTGGAAGAAATTGGTAGATGCATTTACATTGCATGATCACACTTAATATGATGTCATGCATGACATTATTAAGGCAATTTCCCTTCTATAAATAGCAAGATTTTTGTTCATTTGTAAAACATCTCTCACTTGCCTTCTTATCTCCTAAGGCATTTGAATCTTCTTTCTCTCTTATAGTATTTCACTTGTATTTTGGAGTGAAATAAAGTTTGACTTGATTGTGTCCGGGGACTAGGCAAAAATTAAATTTTGCCGTACCTCGTTAATTTCTGCTATTCTTTTTATTATTGTCTCATTTAATATTTATTAGCTACCTTTAGATATAGTAATTGTGATTTAATCACTTTCTATATATTCGGCTTCCGCAACATTGTGCTGCTTCGAAGACACATGCCATGTTATTGAACAACAATGATATAATTTACTTCAACACATACAACCAAATTTTTAAAATTATACAGTTGTTTTAATAATTTTCAGCTAGTACTATGTGTGCCAAAGTAATGCATGTGATTAGATTCCTTGAACCATAAAACGTTTTATTTTTCATTTTAGCCATAGTATATGGATTATTACATTATGAGCAGAATAAAGACTTGAACTTGATAATTAATAACATTGCAGGCAGAATCGTTTTTTTAATGATTATCTGGTTTCAGGAATACAAAATAATTGGGTTTCAGAAAAGAAAAAGATTGTTTCTTTTAACAAAATGGTTATGAAGAAAAAACCAGAAAACAGAATTGCAAAATATTTACAGTCTTCCCTCCAATGACATGTAGAGATTGATGGATGTCTTCTATCCTTAGGAAGAAGAGAACAACAACAACAACGATCAGTAAAATCCCACTAGTGGGGTCTGGGGAGGGTAGTGTGTACGCAGACCTTACCCCTACCTTGAGGAGGTAGAGAGGCTGTTTCCAAAATTTTATCCTTAGGAAGAACAGAAAATGTCTTAATTTCTTGAAAGGACTTAGAAGTTTATCCGAATCTTAATTTCAAAGTGGTCTGATTTCGTCATAGGTGGCTCGAGATGGTATTCAATGGTTACAACTGTACCAATTGCTTTCGACTCTAATCATGTATACATACACAAAAATATTAAAGGACTCATATACATAGCAATTGCATTCATTTTTTAACACGGTAAGTTTTGTATTTACCTCTGAATTTGGCATGCAGTCTGATGTATTCATGACTAGTTCCAAAACAATATCGAAAGAGATGTTCAATTACACTTACTATTTGGTGAAAAAATTAACCCAGATATATAATCGGCATAATACATAAACAGGCCTCAAACTTGGCCTTAGCTGACAAGTATGCCCTCCAACTTTGAGTGTGCACAAAGTAGGCACCTCAACTTATATAAAGTTGAAGACGTAAATACAAATGCTGACGTGACACATAAATTTTGCAAGTTGGAATATTCAACTGAAAAAGTGGAAACAAGTTAAGGTGCCTACTTGTGCACACTCAAAGTTAGAGGGCATATATGCCAGCTGAGGCCAAGTTTATCCTTATTGAATAGAACATAGGCAGTGTTAAAGATCATTGGAAGAATATAAATCAGTGTTATCACATGCGAAAATGCAAAAAAGCTCTAAGCTCTATTGGGGCTTTAAGAGCAAATATAGCGTGGGCTTTAATGAAAAATGGTGAAAGGGAGAAAAAGATACAAATATATATGCACAGTCCAAGACCAATAATTATAATCATGAATAACAAATATATAGACAAAGAAATTGAAAACAATTATCAATTATTTCGTGTCGCTTCTTCAGGATTACGCACATTGGTAAGGAAAAGTATGTCTTGGAGCGTTGATGACGACACTAAAGCACCCACTAAGCGAGGCGAAGCGCTCAACATGTTTTGAGCCCTACTACAGGGTTTAAGCGCGCCTTTGACAACACATATATAAATCATATCATAAGAATGAAAACATGAAAAGAAAAATAGTTTTTTTGATGAATTGCATTAACAATAAACAAAAAATAGAACAAATATTTGTTTTTTTTAAAAAACTTTATACTATTAATGCATGTAACGGTTTTTCTGGTGATCCAAAAATGTTCTTCCTCATACAAAATGCAGCATTAAGAAACTCATCCATGGCTATAACTGAAGAACCCTTTAAACCTTCTTTAGTAGTAATAGAAGCACTATGAATCATCTCTTTCACCATTAATGCTCTCTTTCTCATCTCCTTTCCTTGTGTTTCCTTCATAAGAATCTCAATTTTCTTCACTATCTCCTCATGCTTTATATCAGAGCTAATTACTACTCCACTAGCCATTATTCTAACACAAACTTTAAGCTCTTCCTCTAACATCTTTGCATTAAAAGACTGCTCTGCTCCCATTGGCCATCCAAGAATTGGAACTCCATTCGTAAGAGCTTCCATTACTGAATTCCATCGACAATGACTCAAAAAGCCGCCAATTGATTTATGTGACAAAATCTCCATTTGTGGTGCCCATTGTTGGACTACAAGTCCTTTTTTACTATATTGAATTCTTGGTAACCACTCATTTTCTTGATTAATTTTTGATGAGTTCCTTTTTATCCATATGAAATTTATCCCACTAGATTCAAGTGCTCTGACTAAGTTCTCTGTTTGTGACTCTGTTATTGTACATTGAGAACCAAATGCTACATAAAGAACTGAATTTGGAGACTTGGAGTCAAGATAATTTATGCAAATCTTTGAAATATCTTCTGATGATTTTCCAGCTCTTGCTTTGCTACCAAATGATGAAACAATTGGTCCTATTGTCCATATTGGACAAGGGAATTGCTTTTTATAATAATCCAACCCCATCAAATCCATCTCCTCCACTGTGTTAAAAAACATTCCATCAGTCTCTAGCCATTCTTGAAACATGGTCTGAGGAAATGGCACAGGTCCTGTAAAAACCGTAAATAGTATATGTAAAAAACACTAATATTTCGCAATTTCTATAGTACAATGTATTCTGTTGCTAAGAATATTAAAAGTTGAACGGTTAAGTTTAAATCCTGAATCGGCAGTTACCTGTAATGACTCTGATATCTTCAGTCAGTTCTTTAACAAGAAGCTTACAGTTTTTGAAACCAGGAAGAAAATATTCATCATCTGATTTTTTTCCTACATGAGGAAGATTTATCCAAGTTGAGTGATAAGCCCCCATACCAAAACATCCACCAGCATTGAATATAACATGAAAAATTCCAAATGTATGAGCAATTTTAGCTGTCCATGAAAAGAACATGTCTGAAATGACACAAAGTGGTGGCCTAGAGCAATTTTCTTCAAGAAAAAGATTGGACATGATTTTAGTGAAGGCTGGTTTGAGAGAGGGAGTGGATTCGAGGAATCGGATGAAGAGCGGAAGTGGCAGATTCTCGGTGGATTAAGTGTCGGGAGGGAGGCCGTGGGATGTGCTATCATAAGGGATTTTGAGGAGACGAATGAAGGAGTGTGGTGGAATAGATGGTCGGAGTTTCTTGATATTGAGAGAGGTGGTGATAAAGGTTATGGAATAACCTTTTTCTTGCTCTAGTTTGAGAGCTAATGCTAAAAATGGGATGAAATGGCCTTGTGCCATTAATGGAAACATTACTATGTTTTCTCTTTTTTGTGTCATTGACAAGAGTGTACAGAAGAACTATAGTGAGTGTGTGTGTGTTTGTGAGAAAATATAGGGAGTTTGGGTATAGTTCTTGGACAAAGATATATAGAGACGATGAAGTAAAATTTTAAATTTTCTCTCTTTTAATTTCTTGAATTATTATCTACTATCATTATCAAGTCTTTTTTTAACCCTCAATAAAAGAGAGATTTTGGAAACCATGTGAATATATTCTTAACAGACTAACAATTCCAAAATGTAAAATATAGTTTAACATTTTGGTCAGGTATTTGTCTTACTTGATTCTTTAAAATAGCGGAGTAACAACTTGATCAAGAAAATGTGTTAGATAGTGACATAGTAGTTGAAATATCTATACGTGTATTGTTTGAATATTTGTGCAGCTAATTTTTCGAAGCAGCCGTAGGACAAATTTAAAACAAAAACCTATACAAGTTGCAGAAGCATATTCGTTTTTTTTAAGTCAAAATAGCACGGGCTAGCCATTTTTTGGACAGATAATCAAAAAATAGCCGGTATTTAAGAAGTCATTAAAAACTAGCTTTTATTTTGCTGAAACACGGAAAGTTCCAGCATAGCAGGATTATGGAGCTTCTGCGTATAAACTTCTAGCATATATGTTGGAATTCCAGGACACGAAATTTTTTAGTATAATATGCGGGATTATGGAGCACTTACATATAAAATTCCTGCATATTATGCTGGAAGCTCATATGTAAAAAATTCGAACTCCAGCATATTAGCCGGTATTTAAGAAGTCATTAAAAACTAGCTTTTATTTTGCTGAAACACGGAAAGTTCCAGCATAGCAGGATTATGGAGCTTCTGCGTATAAACTTCTAGCATATATGTTGGAATTCCAGGACACGAAATTTTTTAGTATAATATGCGGGATTATGGAGCACTTACATATAAAATTCCTGCATATTATGCTGGAAGCTCATATGTAAAAAATTCGAACTCCAGCATATTAGCCGGTATTTAAGAAGTCATTAAAAACTAGCTTTTATTTTGCTGAAACACGGAAAGTTCCAGCATAGCAGGATTATGGAGCTTCTGCGTATAAACTTCTAGCATATATGTTGGAATTCCAGGACACGAAATTTTTTAGTATAATATGCGGGATTATGGAGCACTTACATATAAAATTCCTGCATATTATGCTGGAAGCTCATATGTAAAAAATTCGAACTCCAGCATATTATGCTGGAATATTTTCGGATTTTTAATAATGTTTTTGTTCAGCTTTTATCTTACATGAAAAACGACTAAATTTCGATTACTTTTGAAAATGTGGCTATTTTTTAATTACCAGTTGTAAATCTAGTTATTTTTTAAGGTCACCCTTTTTTTAAGTGTATAATTATTTTGCACCATCATGTTAAATTATCTACACTATTAGATTACTCTAGGTAACAATCATGATCTGGAAATCTGAAAAAATATTGTATAGTGAATAACCTACTATGATATGGTTAATACATGTAAAAATAAGTATACAATTTAAATTATATACCCTTTTTATAATTTCCTTTAATCTTTGTTGTTTCAGTTTTTCTTTTTCTCCATTCCCTCTTCTTCTTCCTTTTTTTTGGTTTCCTTTTTTACTTTGGAATACTAACATACAGCTAGCTCGCAAGATACTTCTACTTTGTGCATGTACAGTGTCCTTAATAACACGCATTGAAATTGAGTTGCTCATAGCCTTCGTGGTGGAGCCACTGAATTTCTTTCCGGAGTTGTATTGTGTATATAGGTAAAATATTTTTTTATGTGTTTATATATAACTAGTTTCAAGGTATGCGCTTTGCGCGTGTAACCTATATTTAAAATAAATAAATATTATATTAAAAACTATTTAAGAGTAAACAATACAAATATAAACTTCAAAATTAATGAGTATATAACTAACTTAACAAAGGAAGAGATTCTTGTAACAACCCGGCCATTCATTTTAAGAATTAACACCCCGATCCCCTATTAACTGCTTTTTCCGTATTTGTTTTTGCTATTTTGATTCGCCAGGATAATTGGTTTTGAGTTTCGGAGTGTTTTGGGACACTTAGTCTCTAAGCGAGAGCTTAAGCTTTAGAATTTGGACCGTAGTCGGAGCAGTGTAAAGACGGCCTAAGAATAGAACCCGTCGATTCCGTTAGCTCCGTTGGGTGATTTCGGGCTTAGGGGCGTGTTCGGATTGTGTTTTGGAGGTCCATAGCTTATTTAGGCCTGAAATGCCGAAAGTTGAACTTTTGAAGTTTCCGGTTCGATAGTGAGATTTTGATATCAGGGTCAGGATGGAATTCTGAAAGTTGGAGTAGCTCCGTAGTGTTGAATGTGATGTGCTTGCAAAATTTCAGGTCATTCGGACGTGGTTTGATAGACTTTTTGATCGAAAGCATAATGTGAGAGTTTTTGGAGTTCTTAGGCTTGAATTCGATGTTAAATTGGTGTTTTGATGTTGTTTTGAGCATTCCGAAGATTGGAACAAGTTTGAATGATGTTTTAGGTTGGTTGGCATATTTGGTTGAGATCCCGGGGGCCTCGGGTGTGTTTCAGATGCTCAACAGTTCATTTTTGGAACTTAGAAAATTGCAGAAAAAGTTGCAGTAGTCAGTTCTCGTTTCCTTCTTCGCGTTTGCGAGTGGGGTCTCGAGTTCGCGAAGAGGAGCTAGGCCTGGTGAAGGGTCAACGCTTCGCGTTCGCGAAGGTATTCCCGCGTTCGCGAGGCTGTGGGATCTTATACCTACGCGTTCGCGAAGGTAGTCCCGCGTTCGCATAGGAGGAGGAAGGTTGATCATCGCGTTCGCGACTTGGGCATCGCGTTCGCAAACGAGGAAAAATGGACCAAGCGGAGTTGTGCTTCGTGAACGTGAGGATCATTCCGCGTTCACGAAGAAGGAAATAGCTGGGCAGATTTTAAAAATCCAAAATCGAGAGTTTAAGCCTTAATTCATATTTTGGACTTGGGAGCTCGAGAAATTGCGATTTTTTAAGAGAGTTTCACCTGGGCGATTTAGGTAAGTAATTCCTACTCGGTTTAGACTAATTTCTATGAATTTACACTTAAATCCATCCTTTAATTTCGAATTTATGGTGGAAAATTGGGGGAAAGTTCTTAGACCTAAATTTTGAGTTTTGATTGGGGATTTGACATTGGATTTGGATAATTTTGGTATGGTTAGACTCGTGAAAGTATGAGGATTCTGAAAATATAAATTTTACCCGATTTCGAGACGTGGTCCTGGAGCGCATTTCGCGTATTAGCTTAGAATTTATTAGTGGAATTAGTTACTTGAAGTGTTATTTATATTATGAAGTTGATTTGAATAGATTTGGGCCATTTGGAGTCGAGTACTCGAGGCAAGAACGTGGTTTTGGGTTGATTTTGAGCCGGTTCGAGGTAAGTGGCTTGTCTAACCTTGTGTGGGGGAACTCCCCTTAGGATTTGGTATTATTAATATTTGAAATGCCTTGTACGTGAGGTGACGAGTGCATACTTGTACTAATTGTTGAAAAATCCGGTTTTCATTAAGTAATTATAATTGTGTTTTCTTTCCTGTTTATACTACTTGAAATTTAAACCTGTTGCTAGCTTAGAGAAGCATATCTATTCGACTTATTTTCTTTACTTGCTCAAACTGCCTTATTTGGATTATGTGCAGCATGCTAGGATAGAAATAACTGCTTTACCTTGGTATGAAATTTGAATTGAATTGTCTATCTTTCATGTTGTTGCTGTGTGTTTACTTTGGGACTACGGGCACGGTATCTCGGGAGATCCCCCCTGCCTGTTTACATTTGGGACTACGGATCGGTATTCCGGGAGATCCCCCTGCACTTTTATATTGGAACTATGCGACTGCACCAGGTAGATTTCCCCTGTACTAGATATTTATATTTGGGGACTACAGATCAGATTTTTGAGTGACTGAGAGGCTTGCCCGAGGGGCTATAGACATACATGTGCATGAATGATGCTTTACCTGAGGGGCCTGTTTATGAACTTACTATTTTTCACTCCTCCTTAAAGTGAGTTTTCATCGAATATGTTGATTTAATTACTGCTTCCACTCATCTTTAGATCGAGCCTCTATTGAAAATGTTGAACAAATGCTTTAAACAATTTTCATTTAAACTGAAGTTTTTAAGTTATGAAATGGGTATAAATTTCTGTTTTTGCCCGAAGGCTGTGTACGAACTATGTTTTGCCCGAGGGGCCTATTATGGTTTTCATCTCTTTTATTATAAATGGTATTGAACCCCTACTGAAACTGTTGGAAAGCATTTTCCAATGATTTTTACTAAAAGCTGGATTTTAAATGAAACGATTGACTCGTATTCTGATTTGAAAGCATGTTCTGCTTATTGAGTTTATCATAAATGTGGATTCATTGTTTCCTACTGCTCAATCTTTATTTACTCTTATTACTTACTGAGTTGGAGTACTCACATTACTCCCTGCACTTCGTGTGCAGATTTAGGTATTTTGGAACCCGGTAGCGGGCGTTAATTGCTCAGATGCAGAGTCATCATAGTTAGCAAGGTGGCTGCACGACGTTCGCAGCACCGCTTCCTTCCTTTCATTTTCATTATTGTACTTAGTACATTTTTTGACTTTTTTTGTTGTATTCAGACCTTGGTAGATGCTCATGACTAGTAACACCCCAATATCGGGCTTGTGTAATTATTCCGCGTTTTTCTTTTAAATGTTTATTATGAGATTATTGGTTTATAAATGGTATAAAAACAACTTTTATTGTAAAATAGTTTATTTGGGAATTGTGTCGGCTGACCTTGTCTTCATGAGAGGCGACATCACGACCGGGTCCGGTTTGGGGTCGTGACACCCACTTTTCTATATAAACTTCTCTATTTACTTGTATTTCTTATTTTTCTCCTTTTTTTTATTAAGTTTGTCCTTTTGTGTTTGATGAGTGCGAACGTAGTATGGAACTTATATCCTTAAATTTATTTTTGTTCTTTTATGCTAAGAAAGTTATACAAATTATAATTATTGTTTATTACCTAAACCATATTCAAAGTGAGTATTGTTAAATATTGTTTATAGTACCTTCTGGAAGTTCATACTGAAATTTGATAGCATTTGGAGCTTATTTGAGGTGATTGGAATCGAAAGTTTTAGTTGAAACTCAAAGATGAACACAGCGCCAGTATACCGCTACGGTATACAATATGCTGTAGGAGTATATAGCCATACTGCAACAATATACTATTATAGTTTATAATATACTACAACGGTATATTGTAATAATCGAAGAAGAACACAATTACCTAACAATATACCGCTACAGTATACAATATACTATAGGAGTATATAGTTATACTGCAACAGTATACTATTATAGTATACAATATATTATTATAGTATATTGTAATAATATGCAATATACTGTAACATTATGCTGTAATAGTATACAATATACTATAAAAGTATACTTATTACACGTAAATTCACTTGTCTTTTCCCTTTTAATTTGCTTTAAGCTTTTACCCAGCGTGAAGGGCAAATTGAAAATGCAAAATAAAATAAAATATTATAGTGATATATAATGTAACGGTATACTCTTACAATTAGATCTTTTTAGAATTTTTTGAAATTTTTATTAACAATTGATATTATTTCAGTTTATTAATTAAATTAATTTTTTTAACTCTTTTCGTATAATTGTATACCCTGTTAGTATAGCTATATACTATACTAGTATTATATGTTAGTTAATATTTTTTTAGTTGTATTAGCTACATTTAATTGGTACCCAATTTGATTTTTCTTTAGTAATAATATAAAAAAAAGAATAATAAAAAATAGTGAAAATAGTAAATGAAATTAGATTATGAAGAGAAAAAGAATATAAAAAAAAGAAGTTAAATGGAATTAGAAAAGGAAAAAAGAAAAAAATAAGAAGAAAACGAGAAAAAAGAAAAGGAGAAAAGAAAAAAAGAAAAAAGAAAAGAAAAGAAGTATAGAAATAAAAAAGAATTGGAGAATAAAGAAAAAATTCCCCACAAAACCTACTATGGGTAGGAAATGTAATTAGTTTATGGGTAGAAAAATATATGGGTCGACAAGGGTAAATAGCTTTATTTTTGTGGGTAACTGTGTCAAAACTCCTTTATATAGTATAGATTAAGAAGATATTATAATAGTATTTTGCATAAAATGAATGTAGCTGGAAACTTTCAATAATCTTCACACGAATTCTCTCTAATATCTCCTTGTCTTTCTCCACATCATGTAACCCCCACCGATCAAGCCACCACTCCCACCGAAACTACCGGATAAATACATCCAAATGGAGGTAGAGCTACCTCAACACTCTTATAAGGAAATGCTCCTGGATAAACAAGTGAGTAACCAAACCAACTACTACGACATGGAAAACCAATCAGTTCCAGAACTGGATAAAGGAAAGCACATTGAAGGCTCAAATTCCACTCTCACAAGAAGATAAAGAAAGCCTTTATCTACCATGGAGATACTCGGTAATCATCAAAATATTCAAAAGGAAAATGCCTCACCACATGCTTCGATCTAAGCCCTATGGAAGCCATCCGAACAGTTAATCTTGATTGACTTAGGGTGGGACTTCTACATAGTAAAATTTAGCTTAGAGGAAAGCATGGTGAAGGCACTACACCTAGGGCCTTGGTTTATCTCTGGAAATTTTCTATCCGTACGGAAATGGGAACCAAAATTTGTCCCTCAAGAAGCCACACTCACCTCTATTGCCATTTGGATACGGCTACCCCAACTGCCAACAGAATTCTACGACAAGGATATATTAGTAAAATTTGGGAGGAACCTAGGCAATCTCCTCAAGATAGACCAATGTACATCCTCTACCCTAAAGGGGAGATATGCACGCATCTGTATCCAAGTGCCATTAGAAACCCCAGTGGAAACAATAGTAATCATAGGAGATCATAAACATGCAGTGATTTATGAAGGCGAAGGAACTCTTTGCACCATTTGTGGCAGGATAGGGCACACTGCTCCTAAATGCATCCATAAGACACACACATCCACAACATCCAATGGAGCACATGAAGTTCATCAAAAGGAACCATCCCCAAAGGAAAGTGAATGGAAGACTGTCACCTTCCCACGAAGACGCAAGCAGGGTCAACCAAAAACAATTATCAGCAATGAAGGTAAAATCCATAAACCATAGCATATTCCACAGGCAGAAGAGATACAGGTAAACGTGTTTGACGCCATTTCAGGTAAATTCTTACAAACCCAAACGTTTCATTATAATTCCAAAAACTCATTAAACAGTACACAAAAAACAAAAGGAGGCCATTGGCCCAATAAAACTCCCCACCAGTACTTAAGAGACGCCCAAACACGGGCAGAATACAAGCCCAAGAGACCAGCCCATCACGAGAGCCAAACGAAAAGCGGGGCCAACAACTGATGACCCCACTAGTTCAAATCACGAGCCCAATTCTCAAAAGGACGCCAGCCCAAACCCCAATGACTCAATCATCACGCTTGGCAGAACGCCCAATGGGGCCGGTCCCTTATCCCTGAATAGGGTACTCCACCATGGGCACCACTGACAACCCAACTCCCTACCCAAACACCAAAACCTATACTTTCCCTATCAAAGCTACTGCAACTTCTTCTAATGGAGAAATCCTAATATACACAAATGATAATCGAGTGCCCTATCTGCAACCCCTTCCATCTCCAGTCGAAAAGACCACAACCGTCACCTCTATTACATCCCCAATTAATGAACACTCAACCCCAGTAAAGCAAAAAAGCACAAAAATGGCAAAAGACCTACTACCGACCACCATCTCCACCCATCCACTACCACAGGACCACCAACTGGCCTCTTGGTTAGAGGTTTCCTTGTAGGGGAAAGGCCTTTCCTACGATTTCACCCTGGACAATCGGAGGGTGACACTGATAGTGCAAAATCCAGCACACCTAGCCAGGGTGACGGTGGAAGCTTTGAACAAGGCCGATGGCGTTTGGACCTCTCCTATGGCAGTCGATGGCCAACACCGATAGCCCACTACCAATAACAGACCCCCAAACACTCAACATTCACATCCTACAGAGCTTTCAATCCCTCCCCTTCTTCCCAGATCTGATAAAGGAGGACCCAGCGGGGGAGCCAGTCTTCGTTCCGATCGACCTACCAACAAACCCCTCATATTCTCCTCCGAAAAGAAGAATAACTCACCATCCTTCCAGAAGATCCAAAAAGGAATCTGCAAAGTACCGGAGATACTCAAGAAGAATAATGCCCCAGAAGAGCCGGAATAGACTTACCCAGCATCAAGGACGGACTCGATACTACTTGACTCGGTAAGATCGATAGAATTCAGCACGGAAGAGAGAGATATAGTTGTGGTCCTATGACCCAAATGCTAGGTTTGCCAGGACCAACGAGCCCTCGAGAGGGATCTCACCAATCACCCACAACTCCAATGATGAACTACATCATATGGAATGTTCAGGGTGAAAACAATGCCGAGTTCAAACGGTACTGTTTAGAGATGGTGAGAATGCACAATCCTGCAATGCTAGTACTACTCGAAACAAAGATAGCAGACCGCAAATCCTTGGCCTAGCAGCTTGAATTTGACATGATCATCCAGTCTCCAGCAGTAGGCCCATTTGGGGGAATTGTGTTTATGTGGAAAGAGGAACTCGTAGCTGTGGAAGAAGTGGCTACTACCTCCCAAGGTATCCACGCAATGATGAAGGTAAGCCTAGATCATCCTTAATGGCTATTTTCAGCTATTTATGCTAGTAACCTCTTAACGGAAAGAAAACTCCTATGGGAGCAGTTAATCACTATCTCTAATAACACAAGAACAAACTGGGTCATAGGAGGAAACTTCAATGAAGTCTTAAAGGCCAGGGACATATTTGGAGGCAATCCTATAAACCTGAGCCGCAACAACCTATTTTAGAATTGCATAAACAAGTGTCACATAATAGACCTAGGGTATAAATTAAGCAAGTACACTTGGACTAATGAAAGGTATTCTAACAGAACTTCCCTAATCCTAGAAAGAATAGATAGGTGCTTTGCCATGAAGGTTGGATAGAATATTACCCTGAGGCTATTGTAACGCACCTCACAAGGACCCATTCAGACCACTACCCTCTGAAAATTCAACTGGTAGGGCCTCCAAACAACAAACCCTCTAGGCCCTTTAGATTTGAAACAATGTGGACAAGCCACCCCTCTTTCCCTAGCATCATCAATAGAGCCTTCTCTGACTAATCCACCCTTCTCAATCCACTAAAAGTTTCAAGACTCTGGTAACCAAATGGAACCAGGAAGTCTTTGGAAATATTTTCCATCAAAAAAAGAGACTCATGGCTAGAATCTATGGTATTCAAAACTTTCCTAGCTACCAATTCAGTAGCTTCCTCCTAATGCTTGGAACTGACCTCAATGCTGAGCTGAACCTCATCCTCAAGAATGAGGAAGACTTTTAGAAACAAAAGTCTAGGATCAACTGGCTAAATGAGGGTGATGCTAGCACCAGATTTTTCCACACTTCAACCCTTAATAGAAGAAGGAGAAACAAAATCCTATCCCTCAAAGAAGAAAATGGTAACTGGCTCCATGACCAAAAAGACATCCAGTCAGCCATTGCAGGCTTCTTTCTTACACTGCAGACCTTTGGGCAACCACTCACCACTCCACCATAGAACCCATTCAGTCTCAAAGCCACATGCTTTCATGGACAGACCCCTTCAAGTGAGTGAGATAAAATAGGTTGTCTTCTCTAACAAACCCTTCAAATCACCAGGCCCTGATGGCCTCCACCCTTTCTTCTATAAAAAAATACTAGGATATTGTGGGAGACTCTGTCACAGAATTTTGCCAAAAGTGCTTCTCCACAAACTCAATGGATAACACCATGGACCAAACCCTTTTGTGCCTAATTCCTAAATGCCCTCAAGCTTCAATGTTGAAAAACTTCAGACCCATTGGCCTTTGTAACACCATCTACAAAGCAGTCACAAAAATCATTGTAAACATGATAAAACCAATCCTACCTCACATCATAGGACCAAGCCAAGAAAGCTTTCTAACTAACAGAAGGGCCTGTGACAATGCCATTATTGTCCAAGAATATATCAACCATTTCAGGAAAATGAAGGGCAAGAGTGGCAATATGATTATGAAAATAGACCTAGAGAAGGCCTTTGACAGGGTGGAATAATCTTTTATTAGAGACACTCTAGATGCCTTCAATTTCCCCAAGGGCCTATCCAGGCTCATCATAACCTGCATAAGTACTTCTTCCATCTTCATCCTTGTCAATGGGGGGAAACAGAACCTTTCAACCCCTCAAGAGGCATAAGACAGGGAGACCCTATGTCCCCCTATCTATTCATCTCGTATATGGAAAGACTTTCTAGATCCATTGACAAGGCAGTTCTACAAAATCAATGGTACCCCAAAAGCATAAGTAAGTCTGGACCAAAAATCTCACACCTATTTTTTGCAAATTACCTCACACTCTTTGCCAAAAAAAACATCAGAAACTACAACACCATTCTCTCCATATGACACAACTTCAATAGTCAGGACAAAAAATAAACCTAACCAAATCTAGAGTCCTGTTTTCCTCAAACACCACCCAAGATACCTCCTAACATATCACCAACCTCCTATTCATCAAACACACAACCTCCTTTGGAAAATATCTTCGTTTTCCCATTTTCCACAAAAAACAAACAGCCTCAGACTTCCAATTCATCATTGACAATATGCAAACCAAGATGGCTGGCTGGAAAACAAAATACCTCAAAATGGCTAGGAGAACAGTCATGGCTAAGACCACCCTGAGCAGAATCCCAAGCCATGTAATGCAATACATCACCCTTCCTACCAAAGTAACCAATCAAATTGATAGAATCCAGAGAAACTTCTTTTGGGGCACCACCACTGAAAGGAAAAAGCTCCATCTGATTAAGTGGAATGTAGTTACTAGGACTAAGTCTGAGGGAGGGCTAGGGATTCAAAAAGCCAGCATTAAAAACAAAGCTGCTCTCTCAAACCTGGCATGGAAAGCTTACAAGAACACCAACAACCTTTGTGCCAGAGTCTTGATCTACAAACATTGCAACATGTTTAGACCACCTCAGGCCTTGAGACATCCAAGGAACCCTAAATCCCCAATTTAGAAGGGCTTACTAAAGGGTTGGGAGATCTGTAGCAGAGCCAGCAGATGGGTCGTTAATAGAGGGAATAGGGTCAACTTTATAAATGACACTTAGATTCCTAACCAGCCATCAATCAGGCAAATGATAGAAGGCCCCCTAACCCAAAATGACCTCCAAGTCAGGGTTGAAGAAATTCATAATATGGGTATTTGGGACACCTCAACTTTGTCCATCACCATCCCCCAAATATCCTAAACCTTCTCAATTCTATGTTCATTCCCAGTTCCACCACCAAATAGGGCAACCTAATGTGGGACCTGACTGCCAATGGACAGTTCTCCAATAGCTATGCCTATTCATTCATAAGCAGGAACACAATAGACTACCATCCTGGTGAAGAAACACCCTTCAAATGAAAATGGAAGCTTCAAACCCCCAACAAAATCAAGCATTTTATATGGCTCCTAACCCATAGAAGACTCCCAACCAGGAGCTTTCTACACTCTATAGGAATAAACTATCCCACTCAATGGCACTACTGTGGCAATGATCATGAAGACATTGATCACATCTTCTTTCAATGCCCCAGTGCTGCCCATTACTGGAATGTCATCTTATCAAAATCATCAGGTTCCACCTCCTCCCAACCAGTCCTCAATAGTAACCTTTGGCAATCATCTTGGCCAACTCTTAAAGCTGTGAAGTACAATAGCTGCCTCAACTGGGACAACCTCATCCCCTTCTGCCTATGGCATATTTGGTTGACAAGAAACAACAATGTTTTCAATAACAAAAAGGACCACATTAATGCTAACAACACTATATCAAAGGCAACTGAGTACCATGTGCTTACAAATAATAACCCAAAAGTGGTAACACATCAGATCATGCTAAAATGGATACCCCCACCCAGAGGGTCCTTCAAACTGAACACTGATGGAGCAGCAAAAGGAAACCCAAGAATAGGTGGATCAGGGGGGATTTTCAGAAACCACAATGGGGACTAGATATTGGGCTACATGAATAACATACCTCAAACAACAAACACAAGGGAAGAAATTCAGGCCCTTATTAGAGGCCTACAATTAGCTGAACTAAACAACCTAGTTCTGCTGGAGATAGAAACTGACTCAGCAGAAACAATCAATATGTTGATAAATGGAAACCTGATTTTGACCCTCTAACTTGTGAATGCAGATCAATGATCCAAAGGATGACAGCGTAGTGGTGAGGCACACACACCGGGAGCAAAACAGAGTAGCTGATGCGCTGGCAAAGGAAGCAATAAAAGAAAGTTTTTTGAACAAGTCTTTGTCTTTAACAGTTCCTCCGATGTTTACCAATGATGTATTTTAGGCAGACATCCTAGGAACTGAACTACCTAGATATTTTGTGGGCTGTAATCTAAGTATAATTATGCAAAACATTGCAATAATGGGTGCCATAAGCTATCCCAACAACGTCACAATTGTAACTACCCCGTTTAGCTAATATAACATAATATCCCTTTTGACAAAAAAAAAGTATTTTGCATAAACATGTCATCATATTATCATAGTAAAGCATATTGTGGATCCCCAAAGTATTTGGGCCATAGATAATATTGGGTCGTGTTTCAAAATCGCAAGCCCAAATTCCTCCTGGCTTTTGTTTAGAATGGGTCTTCTCCCTTTAGATTTGGGAAAAATACAAAAGTAACCGGTCACCCGACACTAATTGCATTTGAAATATATATATATAATTCTTACATTCCTATACACTATATGAAACTATATTACCCTCCCTACTCAAGTTTTACTATAATTATATTTTATATACCCAATTACCATTTATGTACATTTTAAGGGAATTATTGATAATAATTAGTGTCTAAAAATTACTCTAACAT